GAAAAGCTTGGTTTTTATTAGCAACGCAAACACGAAAGGAATCACTAACCCAAGCATAACAACTCTTATTTCACTATGAAGACAGCTTCAACACGCTCATAAACACAAGCATAAGTACTTTCTTTCCCTTTCCTTGTACTTGCATTAAGGCGAATCAAGAGCTGTTACGCTTGCATCTGTACTTAAGTCACCAGTGAAAATCAGTCCTAACCCTTTAACTCCCAAGATCTGATTGTTCATTTTCCCGGCAAGAAAGGCTTGGTCTGAGAAAAATAGACAAGTAGCTCCCAGAGACATTTCTTACCTTCTGAGCGAGAAATCGTATTTGGTTTTGTTCTCGGAGGTATCCTCATAGTAAAAACATTATGTTGTGCTTTCCTTTAGAGAACTGTTTGAACTTCTGTAACTATGGTTACAAAACAAAAGCGCTGTTTTATATGCCACAGTCCTTCTTCCTGTCTAACTGAGCTTTTGTGTTTAAATCTTAATGACTGATCTCATCTTAGTAACACTGGATATGACAGTCAATAAAATACTACGATGAAAATCCAGTAGAATGTTTTGAAAACGTTATGCAGATAGTCTAACTGTTAAACAAAGCTGCAAATTATTCGGTCAAAACACTTTCAGCGGGACATGTAAGAAGTTTTAGAACTACACAGTGTTGTCCTATTTTCCCTGGAGATAATCTGAGTGCTATATCTTTTAAATTGAAAGTTTATGAAAATATGAATTTTTGGAACTACACAATGTGTCGCTTTTTTTCTCCGAAGTTTGCTATGGTGATATATGTAAGGTTATGGTTTCCCAATTTAAAACACGTCTTGCAAAAAATGCTCTTGACAAAATTAATCGAGAAGTTAGACAGAAGCAATAGTTCTGTAAAATAATTAAATAAAAGCAGGTTTTCTACCCTCTGTTTGTACTGCATTACTTCTCTTCTTTACTCTGTTAGCTGAAAACTTCATTTCTCTTAGACAACCAGGATGAAGAAATGATACCATGGAAATTATTGACATTAACTGAAACCCAAAACAGCAAAACGAAAAGAAACGTGTGAAACCACCGAAATGACCGAAGCAAAACCATCGTAACAAAACGAACCTATCGACCAAAATGAAACGACCGATATGACCCAAAAATATGCAAAAAATAACAGTCAATACTCATCCTTACATTTATTTCTACAAACTCATTTTGTAACATAATGACCTGATGAGCCATATCTACAAAATGGACCTTAGGCGTGATAATGTGTTCTTATGATTAAAAGTGCAATATGATTATCAATAACAGCGCAAGGTATTTACTTTAACCAATGCTAAGAAAATACAAATAAAAACAACATATAAAGCATTTTATAATTATGGACATTACGTTACTGCATTCCAGTGTACACCAGAACTTTGGGTAATTGTTCGGAGTTTCGTTATAGAAATAAAAGGGAACTAGAACTGAATTAGCGGCTCGGTTTACTCTTCTGATATTGACTTAGAAAAAATGAAGACTGTGTGATCGCTTTGTGTTCCGTTAAGTGAAAAGACAAGTAAAAAATTTGAACAATCAAAACTTGTATAACCGAGATTGTAGGAGCGTAGGAGGCGTGATGGCCATGATGATACAAGCCATTGAGATTCGAGCATAGCTGTTGTGAATACCTCAGACCCACCTAAAATTTTATGGAGACAGGGTCTTTTCAGCCTCTGCCCCCAGGATATAGAATGTCTCACCCATAAACCTTAAACTGAGTTTTCTACTTTCTGTTTTCTGAGAAAAGATTAAAGACGCGTTTTTTCAGAGCTACTTATGATTAGCTGTCAATTTCCAACTACGATAAGAAGCTTTTTGCATGTACCGCTACACAGATTAAGTCATTATTATTATTATTATTATTATTATTATTATTATCACCGTTTAACTGGCTGATTCTACAGAATCAACTATTCCTGTTTTGAAAAAAAACACGCACAAAGAAGATTAAGCAAGAAAACCTGGAGAACATTTCGCTAAGCTCCAATTTTAGAGTGACTATTACATGCTGAAAAGACTTGATCAAGACACTCGTTTCCTTTGTTAAGTTGGTACTGTATCGTTGTTGTGCCATAAACATGACGGTTCAGAAATCCACTGGTCTTATTTTCATCTCGGTTCTCTTTAGAGAGTAATGATATCCTTTCCAGTGTTTCCAGTTCACTCCATCAGCAAAGGAGGGGTGATTGCCACGAAGATATAAACCATTGAGATTTGAGTGGTGACACCTCTCGTACCACCAGGCTCCTTTGAA